GAGAGAGAGAGAGAGAGGTGTGTGTGTGTGTGTGTGTGTGTGTGTGTATGTGTGTGTGTGTGTGTGGGAGTGCTTAATGAAGACTGATTCAGGAGAATTCACTGCTCAATAAACACTAACTACAGTAAGTGAGGAGGTGAGCCTAGCAGGAGGCAGCTGATCTGTATTTGTTTTATTTCAGTTAATATTTAATGAAAAACAAACTGCACTTCACGGAAATGTCTTTACAGAAAACTGTGGGAAGAAGCAGACATTTTGATCTGAATCAAAGCCTGATTTTCTGCATCTCTTAAAATAAAATCCATGTTTAAAAATGGGTGATAAAAGGCTATTGATTTCTAGCCTGAGTATGCTGAGTTAGCAGGTGTAAGGAGGTAAATCAAATGATTCCTTGGGCCGGATCAATGAAGGATCGGAGACACTTAAGAGAACTAAATCAAGACAAAGAAAAAACAAGAAAGGAGGGGAAAGAGGAGCAGAGGTAAATGAGAGAGGAGTAGGAAAAGGTAGATGACGGTGTGGTGCTGAGCTAAAAGAAAGGTTGTGGCTGGAAATGTCAGAACTTTTTGGAAACTAAATGATGACAGCAAGTGTTGCACAGCTCAAAATTTTAACAAGAGAGCTGAAAATAGACTTAAAAAGYCACAAGGTGGAAAAAAACAAGCCAGTCTTCCAAAAACACAAACTGAATTCAGTGTGCGAGCTCACCCGTTGCGGGTCGTAATCCAGAACCCGACGTCTCGCTGCATCTAGCTCCTCATAACCCGGAGCGGCTCGGGCCTGTTGGTACTCCCTGCGCAGCCCCTGGATCCGCTGATCGCTGCAGAAAGAGAAGGACGAGAAGATGCCAACATTCGTGAATTTGAGAGAATCTGGGTGGCCTAAATATCTGATTCGGTTGCCGAGAAGATGTTCACCTCAGCTGGGAGTTAAACAGGTCGAGGATGGAATACATTCTGCATAATCTTTTATTAAACCCACTGATATTCTTTGACGCTGCAATGACAAGCCCTGACAGCCCGGGAAGGCAGACAGAATATTCACAAAGCGCTGCCTCTGAGAAGACACCAGCATCTGAACTAAACTTTCCACAGCTGACAGAGAAAACCCAGGTGGAAGGAAATGGAACAGAAAACAACATGAAACATTTTGACGGATTCACCATCTCATCTGAAAGTCACACAGAGCGATGGGGGGTGCTCTCCTTTTACCCAACTACAGATAAGACAGATCAGCGCAGCGAAGCCCGAATGGTTGGACTGAACTCTAACACAAAAAAAGTTCAGCAATTAAATAAAAAATAAGTGACAAGGATGAGATTGAAACGGGACAGAATGAGGACAAAACCAAACGACAAAACGCTGYCGCGCTCACTGGACCTCAACACCAGAGGAGCTACTAAACAAAAGCATAAAAAAGTAGATGAAACGTGCACGCTCCCAAAAGAGATGCGACTAAAAGTACAACAAATTTTACATGGGTTTACAAACTGTGCTGACAATGATGTGTTCGTTTGCCATTTTGCAGTTGAAGGATTAAAATATTCAAGCTAGAACCAAACAAACAAACAAAAAACCTTTCTGTAAAACACAGAAGGACCTTTATCCCCACTTTAATAAACTACCTCTGATTCCAACTCTGTGACCTGCAGGCAGATATTGACCAAAACACTGAGGAGGACAGAGACAGAGAGCTGATAGAGAGCTTCATTAGTCAAGTACAAAGCCTCCATGCTTAAGTCTCTCCCGTGACCCCGTCTTTAATTAGAAAACCTGCCTCTCTCTCTCTCTCTCTCTCTGTGTGTGTGTGTATTTCCACGTCCTTGTGATTTGGTATGTGGGATGCAGAGTTTCTGACGGTGCGCCTCATTTAATGCAGCCTGTCTTCAAGCCGTTTCACTAGGGACAGACAGCTGAGTCACTCAAACTTTGGAGCCAGAGAGTTGATATTCAAAGTGTTGCTATAATTCGGCACAAATCTGTGTGTGTGTGTGTGTGGACAGGTTTTTCCTACAACGTGGGGTATTTTTGACAAAAAAAAAGGCAGCCAGGTGGGGACCGAAGTGAATCGTGGGGACCATTGTCAGGTCCCCACGGGTCCAAAATGCAGGTTACAGG